AGTACTGCTTGATATTACTTGATTAATCATTCTTCTATCCTTCTTCCCTTCCTTAGAACATCTTTTTTTTTTTTTTTTTCCTTTAAATGTGCTTCACAAGCTTTCATTCTGCAATCCACACAGCTGGTCATCTTTCTTTTTTGTTGTGTCTAAAAGCAGCCATATGTCATCAACAACCCTCTCATGTATATTGAACTTCCTTAGCACATCAGCTTGTCTCTTTGAATGTGTTACCTGATGTCTTTAAAATGGCAAAACATAGGAAAGTGGGTCCTCCTGATCCTTTGTTTATCAGACCAGCAAGAGCTACGAATATTGTAGAGTTAGCATTTATGCCCTTTGGCCATATTTATTCTAGCTTTGCTTTTTATTATTCTTTGTTTCAGCTCAACTAGCAGGATATGATTCAAATCAGCTCTATACAGTAAAGTAGCAAGTATGCCTATCCTTTATCAGTAGGGAAAAACCAGGGCCACTGAACACTGGTGTTTGGTGTTACAGCAGCCACAACTGCTGCAATTCTCCAGCTCTGTCCATCTAGGTGCTTTATTTGGTGCTCACCGTTTTTAGTATGGCTGGTCACAGCACAACAGTCTCTCCACTGCAAATGTTAGCATCAGTGCTTGAGTGCCATTACAGCATGTCTGGTAGGATATATGTGTAATAGCAGCAAAGGAGATTGACCAAAGAAGAAAGATCCACTGGAAATTTGACAAGCTTTAGGTTCAGGTGGTGCTCATAATTTCTTCTAAAATAAGTTTAGAAACCTTGGTTTTGCAGTTCAGTATGTGAAAGTCTCTTTTCTTCACTGTTTGATGTGATTGTCTAGTTAAGAGATTGAAATGCTTTGGGTGTTATGAGATGAGTTGTATCTCAGGCGGCTAGGACTGCAATTTAAATGGACTCCCTAACAACACGTAGAGAAATGTGATTTTTGTTACTGTTGAATTTTGAAACTACTGGAATGCAAGTAGTTTCTCTCCTTTCTAAATGAGTTGCGGTCATCAGAAAAGCATCCATTTTGGAGCTCCATCACGTCTGGAGCACAGTCTTATCATCTGGAGATAGAGAATTGGCTTTTTGCAGCACTGGTATTTGGCCATCCAGTAACACTGGAGAGTTCATGAGATACCCATGGTTACCTTGGTAATAAAGTGATGAGATATACTCAGTAGAAGGGTTTTTTTTTGGAGGTGGTGAGATTTTCAAAGCTCTTTCTTTTTTTTTAATGAGCATTAACTCATTTGTTACTGAGATTCATTTTTAAACAGGTAACTATGGAATGCTTTTAATAGGCTGAGAAAAGTTAGCAGATGTCAGTGTGTACTTTAATCTTGCCATTTGTAACAACCTATGGCATTTTGTATTCATTATGCTTTTTAAGGGCAAATAATTTAGATTCTTTCACCTTCTGATGATAAACTCCCTTTTGTGTTCCTTCTTCTGAAGTCGGTTTTCTAAATAAGAAAATAAACAAATCTTGTGTGAAATGTTATCATCAGCCTGAGTAAAATTAACTGCATACACATACCCCCAAGCCTCAAATCAGATCCAACTACGTTGGACATGCACTGCACTTAAAGGCCACTGTTTACTATTGTTTCATTTATTGGAAACAAATTGGAAACAAATATTTATGCAGGGAAAAAAAAAAAAAGGCTTTATAATTACATGGAAGTACAGTTAAGTAGCTTAAAATATTACCTTTACATTTGCTATAGATTTGGCAGAGTTTTTGTCAAGAAATCATGCTCCTTTGGTGTTCAGAGCTCTTTGGCACCCTTCTCCAGTACGTACCTGTGTACTTAAGGCTGTAATGACACTAATCTGCAGGAGGTTCAGAACGATTCAGAAACCATGTAAAGCTGTGACCTGTACCTTTAATTCATTTCAGCCAGTTCCACGCTGATGAAGTGATCTATCATCATTGCTACCATATTATAGCATGTGTTCCTACAAGAAAGTTCAGACACTGCAGGGGTGACCAGACTAACATCGCCTGGCATCCAGCAGTGCGCAGACTAAACTGTAGTTTTAGATAGAGAATATGGAAACTGACAACAAATTATTACTTGCGGTCTTTTTCCAGTTTTCAAGTGCAAACACACCAAAGTCTATTTTAAATCTGAGCCAGTCAGACATTTAGTAATATAGATCAAAGAAGAAATGAAGGCCTCCCATGCTTATTATTTCAATATGATGTCTGTTCTAATAAAGTGTAAGAATGCCTCTGATAGACTAACTAGTAGGAATTTTCTGGTTCTGTAGTTTAGCCTTAAATATATACATATATTTGTAAATTAATCAGAAACATATTGTGGTGGTTTCAGTTCCTCAGAAAGCTGATTGTTTTCAATCCTTTCTTTAATCTTAGAAATATGGTGGCAGCCTGCCAGAACACTTTCAGATAAACAGTCCACTTCACATTTAAAAGCTGTAGAATCACCGATGTTGAAGGGGAAAAAAAAAACAGAAAACACCAGTTCTTTCTCTCTTCCCC